CAGACACTTTCTTTATTAACTAAATTAATGTTTTGATCTGATTTCAATCTTATTTTCATTTCAAGACCCTATCTACTGGAAACGTATTTGTTTTTAATCTGAATCGCTGTTTAGATGAAAATTTGAGGAAAAATAATCTGTTTTATCATGAAACGGTCCATTTTAACTCTAAATTCGCGAAATGGGAAACGCCACAACAACTATATTTCAAACACAATTACAACAACTTTACGTTTTCTGGAAACCTTAATCAAATCTACACGGCATAGCATTCTCCGATTTTCGATATTTAGTGTAGAATTTATTAAATATTTAAAAAATGAAAACACTAGACATTTGATTTTATCGACATGTATAAGCTCGGAAGAAGCGGTAGAGCGAATTACTGTATATCTTCGAAAGAGGTAGCTCTATCATTTACCAGGCGTGATAGAGGATAATCAACCCCAAATCGCACACACAAGGGTTCGGATTTCCCAGTTCTCTTTCTAAACAAAACAAGAAATGCATTGATGCAAAGCATCACAGGGCGTCCAAGCAAGAAATGCAGCAAGTGAAGATGAACTAGTACACATATGATGACAAGATATTCTTATAAACTACCAGAAATGTATATCACTTATGAATGAGCGGACGAAAGACATTGTTCATTATGAACTTTGATTGGCATGCTAGAGATTAGAATATTACTTGTTATTTCTTTATAATCGTGGTTATTAATAGCAACGGATATACATGTATGCAATCATTTATAATCCATATGTGTAACGCATGATCAACACGTACCACACCTTTGTAATTGTCCCTTATTATGTTATCGCTATTAGCGAAGACCCCCTTTTAAGGTATCTGTTCACACTTTAAGTTAGTAAATATATATCCATGTTGATCATGTTGAGCATAATTGTTTATTATACAATAATTGTAATATCTATTAATTTTAATAAAAAAAATACAAATTTTATGAATATTGTTTTCTTTTCTTTTTTGTGTTTTATGTGCTATTTTAATACTGAGTTTTTACTACTCTTTTTTTATTAAAATTGTAAAATAAATTTTAAGAATTCAATTGTCATATTGACCGACGATTATTTTATAAGTCAAAGCTTAACTGGAAAAAGTCAGTAAATTATGGTTTATCTTTTAATATATAATATTGTTTATTTTTAAACCATGTACATGTACATTTGTATTTTTCTTTATCATGTTTTAAATTATCAATCAATTGAATAATTCATAAAATCTAATTTGTAACTTTGAATAATTCCTCGGCATCTTTACTAAACACGGATAACAAATTAAATAAAATGTTTCAAAGTTGATAATGTCATTTTAATACCATAAAAATGTACCTTTTTCTCAATTATTGTACATATCACGGATTTATATTACATATAAATCCGTGTACATATTTATTGTTTTTATCTCATATAGATAAAAAAATGAAACATGCTATTGTTGTTTTTTTTTCTAATTGTAACGATATCAAACATCTACTCCAAAACCGGGAGAGACCGGACAATAAACGTGTGGTACTATTCGCCGGTCACTAGTAAATCCCGGTCAAAATAGACCGGGAGAGACCGGTAATTACCGATAGGAGTGATAAATAGATATATCTATAAATAGATTTTTGGAATATTTAGGTCATCAACTGATTTTTCTAGGATACATGTACAACAATAACATACCATGATAACCCACTGTGTACTACAAAATGATAAATAAAAAAACCCGAAGAGCGCGATTTATTGACGGAAAAGGTTATTTCATTTGAAAATGTTTGCATTGCGAAATTCTCCAGTTCGCTATTCATTGTAACATATCGCGACATTTCATTCTTAATTAATAATCAAGCACCCTCATACCGATCGGAAAGATCGGCTTTTATTATGACCGACTAAAAGGCTCGAGAAGTTGCTGTCGCCCTTTCACAAAATCTGATTTCATTCCATAAGGGCGCCGCGCTTCGGCGCGGACGCCAATGATTGAATATTTTTATCACCTTAACACTAATGAAATTTAATGAAATATTAGTTCAACTACTTTTGTTGTAGAACACCGTGTATATTCAGTAACGCTGGAATGTGAAAATAACGCACGATCCGTTCAAAACGTAACTTAGAAATGTGGCTGATACCTGACAGGATTTCCAACGCGGAAGGTTAACGGGCCAAAATATTTTTATTTTTATTTTACTAAACTGAAAAAAAGGAATAGCCGCATACGACTGCCATTTGTTGAACATTTCTGCTTTACTTTTTGCACGAATCGTGCGTGATATACACATTCCGACGTTACTGGATGCACACGGTGTTCTACAACAAAAGTAGTTTTAAATTTCATTTGTGTTAAGGTGATAAAAATATTTAATCATTTTGTTTAGAAAGATAGCGGTAGATTATTCTGCCGGATATACAAAGAGTTTTTTTCCACTACAGCTTGTGTTGGTACTTTGTTAATGAAAATAAAATATGATTAAGTAAATATTTATTTAACATTTTACTTATATTGACGACATCCAAATTAAGTTTTATCATATATATTTAAGTGTGTTATTTTTTTCTTTAATTGGATTATATATTGTAAATTAGGCAATTATTCCAAATTTAAGATATTGTATCTTAAAGTTTGTTGTCATTCCTATTATTCAACCTATAAATAACAAGCGTGGTATGCATAAGATTTACCTGTAACCTCTAAAATATAAAAACCAGTGGGACTAGCAATAATGGTCTAATATTTTAGTTTCCGGGAGTCAGAAGTTTGGAAGTTAGTGAACAAGAAGAAATTCAGTTTTTTATTTAGCTGTGATTAAAAATATATTAAGTTTATAAAATAGTATAAAATGACACAATTTTAGGATATTTTCTTATCAAGTTAATTGAATTTGATTCCACCTATAACTTACATGATCTTAATTTTAAAGTGTTTTCAAAATATAAGACTAAAGTATGTTTAATGAAGTACAAGCTATAAACCAGTAATTGTTTGTTACGATAAAGGCAATTTGTAATTGTAAACATGTACCTGTTTGACAATATATTATTTATAATTCATAACTTGTCAAAAATCTTTATGACTAATATCATAGATATCAGATGGTCAAGATTGTTTTATATCTATTCGAAGTGATGAAGTCTACCAGAAAAATGGAAATAAAAATCTTAATCAAATGATTTGTAACCTGTCATCTTGTATAGATCGTTTCTATACGTTGAGACATGTATGGTCAGAATGGTAATGAGCAAAGGTAACAAAAAGGTTTTGAAAATGTATATCTTCAGATGGTCCAGACAACGTTGTGTTTAGTCCAAGTGAAACAAGCCATGAGAAAGATGAAAATGAAACTCTCGATCAAGTAACTTGTACAGCAACCTGCCATCCTACATGTAGTTTTACGTGGTCAAAGACGCCATCAAGAACACTTGTTAGTAGCTCAGCTTTATTAAACCTTGGGAGGCTTCAGAGTTCAGATGCTGGAACATACAGATGTACAGCAACAAGGACTGGTGGTGAACCACAAAGCAAAGATTTAACTATGAATGTAATTTGTAAGTATAGATATGCGTAGCAAAAATGCTAATTATGTCATGTCGATTGTCTTAAGCTTATTGCTGCGTCATGATTTTATTATGTTTTACAGATCAAATAACTAAAACAATGAAATAACGTGTATTCGAATAGAGCTAAACGTTCGGTAAAAAACATATTGAATAACACAACTATTGAGAAGTTAATAAAATAACTATTACAATGTTTGTTTCGACTAGTGGTATGTATTAGACTTGATTGGCTATAATGCTTCGTTTGTGTAAATACTGAAACTTTTAGGACTAATTCCTGATTTTATAAATAGACTGGTTGCGAAAATTAATCTTATTAATTATCTAAAAATCATATATTTTGAGGACATTTGTTTCAACAGTATATGAGACAACTTTTTATTTTTTCTCATGGATATGTTATGATAGGTACTATTCTATATGTTATCATTTAAACACTTATTGTATAGAAAACGAGTCAATAATGTAAAGGTTTAACTTATGCTTAGAAATAATATACACAGCGCACTTATCTTACGTGTTATTATATAAATAACACATGGGTTTGTGGGTAAAAATATCATCCCGAGGAAAATACTGTTACCCGAGGCGTAGCCGAGGATAACATTATTTTTACGAGGGATGATATATTTACTGTTACTCACAAACCCATGTGTTATTTATTTTATTACCCCGAACAAAAATACTGTGATGATCTGAAATTGTCAACTAAATCTTACTGTAACAAAAATAAACCAAGAATAACAACAACTTAACTGTCTTTACCTTTTAAGTTTTAAGTGTACGTTAGGCCAACTTGAGAAGTTTTCTTTTTCTTTTATTCTTTAAGCAAGTGATGATATCTACAAGTCATATAAACATACACTAAGCTAGGTTTTATCTAGGAAACAAAACACTAACCCATTTATACGGTTATGATCTGTGAAATCTGATCCTTCTGTTTCCAGAATATTCTTTGTATGGTTTTTGACAAAATAACGATGATATCCTATGTCTCTCCACCATATCTGTAACGTTTCACTGATTAAAATTGTTAAATAATCCTTTGTTGCATGCTTAAATCGTCAGCATGTCATAGGTACTCCAGAGAAGAAATTGATGTCATATCGGGGTTTAACGTCGAAAATAAGAATGAATCGAGAAAAACATGACGGCCATTTTATTTCATTTTATTTAGAAAATAGACCACGTGACCAGATTTTATACTGTTAAAAAATACTTTTACCTATGTAACAGTACAAAATTCTTAGTCACGTGGTACACTTGCATTAACAGTAAAAATAACTCCCAGAGGCCTATGGGAAATTAACATTACGAAAAACGTGAGGGGTAATAAAACAAATTATATTATATGAAACTCTCATTTGTATTGGAAAAAAATCTGAGTGTTAGTAATGAAGAGAAAAAAAGTGAATAAATTTCTTACAGATGGACCGAGGAATATGTTTTTCAATCCAAATGATGTGTCATATCGACATAATGAAAATTATAACCCAGCACCAATCACATGTGGAGCTGATTGCTGGGAATGTAGCTACAGTTGGTCTGGACCAAATTCATTTAGTGTGTCTGGAGCAGTGCTTGACCTGAGTCCTTTAACAAAGTCAATGGCTGGAACATATACATGTACTGCTAGAAACGTTAAACTGTCTCAACAACCACTACAAACAAAACAGTTGCTACTTGAAGTTAGATGTAAGTTGATATTTTATTCATTGTACAATTATATAAATAATTCAGAAAAAATTGCCTGTATATGCTTACAGAACACTATGTATGAATCAGTATGAATATTTCAACAGAGTGATTACTGTCTATGCCTACTTATATGACGGATGATCCAGAAATACCCTAAATTAAGCCATGAATTAAATAATTTTATTAAAAGTTCATAATTTATAACAGACACTTTATAAATGTGTAATATATTCTCTTTACAAGGAAACAAATGTTATAACAAACACATTATGGACACCACATGCATATCTTAGCAAACATAGTTATGAGCATATGGCACAGGTCAATAGTGTAACATGAAAAATATATGAATTTTTTTAAAAAAAGCATTTTGCACTGAACTGATATAAGGTCAATACTTTTTGACCAATTGGGCGAATAATTATGATCTCATACCATTATAAAAGAGCCTTTAGGTTTTGTTGGAAAATTCAGGATATCTCTCATTGTTAGTGTGCTACAAACTCAAACCAGTGACTGTTTAACCGTTATTATACCGCCAAAACTTTAGTATATAGGAGTCACCCGGTGATCAGGCGGTTAGTCGGTCTTTTTGTCCATTGCATTTTCCTTGTCCAGAGCATAACTTGAAGACTAATGGTTGGAATTCAATACAACTTCATACAATAGTCAAGCACATTGAGAGGAAGTGCAACGCACAAGAACTATAGCTCCATCTTGACATTAGAGTTATTGCCCTTTGTTACTTTTCATTGTCCGGAGCATAACTTAAAATTACTTGTTGGAATTCAAAACAACTTTATACAATGGTCAAGCACAATAAGAAGAAGTGTAGTGCACAAGAACCATAACTCTATCTCAAGTAATTACAGAGTTATTGCCCTTTGTTAATTTTCCATTGTTTTTTTTTATCCTGAGCATATCTTGTCTAATTCAGGACCAATTCCAAGTCTTTTGAAACAGGAATTGCCTTATAAATTATAATGCTCTTTTGTGGAACAACAACATCTGGTATATGAGTAAACACTTTTGGTTTCTTTAACTTGCTGACATGTCTTTAAAGTCCACTCTTTAAGTGAGGTATCCCTCACTGTTGCATAGATAAACAGTCTCACTTTGATTAAAATTTCCAATTTTTGGACCATGTGTTTTAGTAATTATTTGGTCATTTAAACTACCTTGACTCAATGTTGATCGAATTTTTGTTTTTAGAACTTTCATCACTGAAATATGTTTTCAGCGTCAGCACTATATGGGCTCATAGTTAAAATAAGATCCATTAAATCTAATATATTCTGATACTGGTGTTCATATATTTCATTTACTTGTGTTCATGATTCAAACTTGACTGTGCAAAAATAGAAATACCAAAAAAAAAAAATTGTATTTTTTATATTATTTGTTTTTATATATTTGCTTTTATCCGTGTAAGAGCTAATTAGATGTTATTTTGACTTAATGACAACAACAATATTAAGCAATTAGTTACTTTTATTCTGTTTTCTTTTCATCATACCTTTCTGCAATGCTTAGAAACCTTTCAGGGGCATTCTTCACTTTTGTGTGACAGCTCTTCTTTTAGGCCTTGTGTGACTAAAAATGATAAAAACGATTAAAAGAAAAGTAACGAAAGTGCCATTTCTTAAGTCTGTCTGTCCGGATTATGCTTGTCCAGATTGTAAATATGTCATTAGAAGGCATAAATTCAAATAACTTAACACAGATGTTCACAATAATGAGACGGTCTGTCACCAGCAAGTCTGTGGGGCAAGTTGGCAGTAAAGGACATACTGATTTAAGGTCAAATAGAAAGAAAATGGTCTTAAACAGTTTGTCCACACCATAACTCTATCGCTAGCTGGTTGAATTTCAAATAGTTTGGCACAAATGTTCAACATCATGAGATGGCATGTTGCACACAAGAACCTTGAGGCTAGTTCAAAGGTCAAGGGGATACTTAAAAGTCAAATAAAAGAAATGGTCTCAAACAGCTTGTCCACACAACCACTCTATCACTAGCTGTTTGATTTTCAAATAACCCCACTTCATTGTTCAACATCATATGAGATTTAGTGCCATGTGCAAGAAATGTGTGACTTGGCCAAAGGTCAAGTATATACAGAAAGGTAAAATGCAAAAAAATGGTCTCAAACAGCTTGTTTGCACCATAACTCTATCATTTGCTTGTGAATTTCAAATAATCTGGCACATGTGTTTAACATAATGAGATGGTGTGTTTGGCGCAAGAACTGTGTAGATAGGTCAAAGGTCAAGGTCTTACTTTAAGGTCAAATGCCGAAAAATGTTCGCAAACAACTTTTCCTCACCATAACTTTATCACAGCTGCTTATATTCACAAATGTTCATCATCATAAGACTGCATGTCGCATGCAAGAATTTTATGACAGGCCAGGGCGATATGTGACAGCGGGCTTGAGATGTTGCCTCTGGGCACCTAGTTTGTAACAATGGTTAAAATAAAAAAAATATTGTGAACTTTTGACATGAACCATTTAAAAATGGAGGCATTTTATCCTGGTATTTACATATTATTAATTTTGCTTTGTAGTTGGTCCAGATTTTATCAACGTAACAAATGGGAAATTGGTATATACAGTTGATGAGGGAACAAGATTACACGATATAAAGTGCGAGGCTGACTGTTTTCCTGCATGTACATATGAATGGACAAAAGATGGTCATAATTTTGGCAATTCAGATACTCTGTCTTTGGATCAAGTACAAAAAACATCAGCAGGAAATTATACATGCAGGGCTATTAATCGAGACATGCAGTCTAGATGGAAGGAAAAGAGGGTTACTATTTATGTTAGATGTAAGTATTTATCTTGTCTTTTTTTTTGAAAATCAGGAATTTGTATTATTAACAAGATATTTGTATTTCAATATTTGTCTTCTTACACATTGAATCAATTTATGTTCATAATAATATTGTATCTAGTAATTTCATTTTTAGCTAGACTATTTGCAGAAAGCTAATGCAGTCACCCATTTGTCGGCGTATCGTCCCTGTGGTTAAGTTTTTTTCGTGTAAGCTGGTATCTCCATAACTACTAAAGGGAATGGATGGGAACTTCACACACGTGTTCTTTGTGATGATCTAGCATGATTGGCATAAGTCCCATAACTCTAATTTGCATTTTTTGCATAATTATGCCCCTTTTTCAACTTAGAAATTCTTGGTTAAGTTTTTACTAGTAAGCAAGCATCACCATAACAACTGAAGGGAATGGATTGAAACTTCATTATTATACTTGTTCTCTTTGATTATCTTACATGATTGGCATAAGTTTCATAACTCTGATTTGCTTTTTTGCATAATTATGCCCCTTTTTTAACTTAGAAATTCTTGGTTTAGTTTTTGCTCGTAAGCAAGTATCTCCATTACTACTGAAGGGAATGGTTTAAAACTTCACACACTTGTTCTCTGTGACTATCTTACATGATTGGCACAAGTCCCATAACTTTGATTGCTTTTTTGCATAATTATGCCCCTTTTTCGACTTAAAAATTATTGGTTAAGTTTTTGCGCGTATTTAGCAAGTATCTTCGTAACTACTGAAGGGAATGGATTGAAACTTCACAAACTTGTTCTCTGTGATTATCTTATATGATTGGCACAAGTTTCATTTTAACTCTGATGTGCTTTTTTGCCTAATTATGCCCCCTTTTCAAATAAGAAATCCTTGGTTAAGTTTTTGCGTGTAAGCTGGTATCTCCATAACTACTGAAAGGAATGGATTGAAACTTCACACACTTGTTCTCTGTGATTATATAACATGATTGGCACAAGTCCAATAACCCTGATGTGTTTTTTTTTCATAATTTTGGCACTTTTTCGTCTTAGAAATTCTTGGGAAAGGTTTTGCTTTTAAGCTGGTATCTCCATAACTACTGAAGGGTTTGTGCCTTTTTTTGGAACAATTTTATGCATTTATAATAATAAAGCAGTTATTTACTCAATAAAAGATCTTAATACTAAGCCTTTGTACCTTTTCGGACAATTTTATGTATTCATATAGGTAAGCATTATTATACTCAATGAAACACCCTTGTGACAATTTTTTTTTAACAGTCGAGCGTTACTGTCCTCCGACAGTTCTCAGTGTTTTTTTTTTCACCAATATATTCGGCGAAATTTGGTCTCATTCTCCCCTCAAAATAGTATGTCCCCCCCGACCTCAAAGCCGAAATTTCCCCCTATACAGCAGCCAGAATATGCCTGCAATGAAAATCATTATTTTTTTTTGCAACTAACTGCCGAAAACTGTTTTATTTTATGTCTGTAACACTGAATGTTAAGCAAGGTTAATTTGTTAACAAATCATTCTCAGGTAGGTAAGGGGAGCTACTCCCGGTGTCCCAACAAGTTTAACGTGAGATGTTTCAGTATTTAAGATCCGTTTATCAAGAAAAAGCAAATTGAATTCCCCCTCTTATTGCATTTTTCTCCTTCAAACGGGCACCGACCCCCTTCCCCAAAAAGTGAAAAAAAAACACTGGTTCTTGTTCATTGTTAAATTCTATAGACCTGTATCTGATAAAATAATTTTATAAAATTTAATAACAGTAAAAGTATTTGGTTTCTATCACGTAAAAGACATGTTACCTAGAATATCTGAATGTTATAAAAACAATGCTCATAAACTTTGAAAAAATAAAATATTTCGGTGTCGCGTAATTATCACACGCGTGGTAATATTTCCACGCGTGTGGTTATTACGCGGCGGCGTAATAATCACACGGTTAGGGGTAGTGTCGTTAGAATCACACGTACGGTCTTAAATTTTCTCCACAATAGTTAAATCATACACCATTGTATTTTAAAATGAATTCCGCATCTAATGGTATAATTTTTGTGGGAATTTATTAATTTTCTAACACACGGGAGTGTTTTAAAAAGCATGTATTGCTGCGATTTTTAAATAATTATGACAATCTTCGTTATAAATAATTATAATTGTGTTCTAATAAGTATTTTTTAAAAAAGTTTTAGTTTTACTTTTTGAATGTTATATTTATCGTGTTTCAATTAGTGTTCAAGACAGTGTTTTATATTTAACCAAACATACTTGAATTAATAATATTGTTTTCCAAAATGAATTGTGTCAAATATGTGTCCTTCTTTTTTACATATATGTTTGTTATCCAACACACAGGAGCATCTTGAAAAAAGTAATTGCAGGGAATTGGAAAAAAGCGTCTATTCATAATTTTTGTTTTATTTTTTCTCACATAAATTATACTTGTTCATGTCGAAAAATATTATTTAATGATAAAGAAATATTTTTACCTAGGTTGAAATGATCAGTGTCATATACGGTTAGTTATATGCATAATACGTATTGATGCATGGAGGTGTCAATTCTCTTAAATTCGCTAGGCGTGAAAGTTAACATTATGCACTAAAACACGAAACATACTGTTTGAAGTGTTCGCCATTCCTTATATCAATTAATTGACAAATAGGCGTATCGATAATTCTTGTAACAAAGCACATTATTTATCGCCTAAATCTGTTACCACCTGATAAATAGAGAATAACATGCTACTGTCTTTTGATATCAATTTGATCAGGCGAGGCTGATATGGGCTAGAAAGGGCGAGGCTTGCCGAGCCCTTTCTGCCCATATCAGCCGAGCCTGATAAAATTGATATCAAAAGACAGTAGCATGTTTTTCTATTTATCATGTAACACATAATAACTGTCAAAATAACAAAATAATCTACTTTTAAATAGCGAATTTCGTAAAAAGGGGGATTTTGTTCAAAAAAATAATTTTTGAAAACAAATTCTTCCGCCCCTGAAACTTAGAATTTGTTATGGCGGCCATTTTTTCTTTCGACTCGGATAAAAGATACAACAGAATGTAGGCCTAATACGATAAAATTCTTACCTTTAATTTAAACATCGATCCAAAAATCCACTAAGAATCACATAAACTTAACTTTACTGCAACTTTTGTCTTGAATTGTCAAATTCAAAAGTTCACGATAATTTCAATCAAAGAAAAGTCAAATCGGCAATCAAACACAAGCTACACAAACATGCGTCTTATTTTTCAAACGAAACAATGTGTTCATTTATGAAATAATAATCCGGCGAAATAAAGTAAACATTTACAAGTTCTCAAAGAAAATCGTCTAGCCTGTTTGTTATGATTACATGTATAGTATGACGTGAACATCGATGATGTCATTTGCAATATAAATTATGACGTCACTTCATTTAGTTGGTGCTAAAACTATTCGCTATCTAATTTATTCGTAATTGAAATCGAAATAATAAATAAATAAATATCACATCTTGATTCAAGACTTGTAAGGGTATGAGATTACATTGTAGAACTCACATGCTGATGAAAATGAGAATATAAGCAATTGAAAAAAAGTCCGTTAAAATGGGCGGGGCTTATTTTTAATATCAAGGTTACTGACCTGATATCAAAAATAATTATCAGGCAAGTGTTATCGGGCAGTTACCATAGCAGTTGCATGATAAATCTCTTATAAGCATAATAGCGTAGTGCTCTGTGGGTGTAGATACTGGAAAAGGCAATTTTTACATTTCTTTTTTGTTTTAGTTGTTTTTTTTTCAACAATCCGTGAATTCTATTTGAAAACATTGTATACACACATTCGCATCCAACAGGTTAAGTATAAGACAAAACACAGTTGTGATTAGGATGATAAATGGGCAACGGTAAAAATATATGTACCAATGAGCCAAAATTGTTATTTTGAATAGAACTGAATATAATTGATTATTGAAAAAGTTTGTCACGAGTGTATTGTATACATATATAAAGTTATATTTATATATATAGTGCTTGGAACATGTTAATACATACGTAAAAGGGAAGGGAGTACAATGAGAAGGTTATTAATAGATATTTAAGGTCACGGGGTTCTATTGACTATTCAAGAAATGTTGACACAAATTTTACAATTTGAATTTTACCTGTTCAATAGTTTTAACAATTTATTAAGTGGGTCTGTTCTATGACCAGCGTTTGATTATTATGTGGCGGTGTTATATAAGCGCACGGTTATAGGTAGTGCCGTGATAATCACATACACGACTTTATGATTAATCAGTTTTATCCGAATGATAAATATTTTTCTTCTAAAACTAGTTCAGCGTTTAATGGTATTTAATTTTTTTTAGAATACTACTATTTGTATAATTTGTTTTATTACCACGCTTCGTTATAATCATACGGTTGGGAGCAGTGCTGTGATAATCACACGTATGGTCTTATATACACTCCAAATAACACGAAATATAGGCTATACCATTTTATTCCAAAATAAATTCCGCATCTAATAGTATAACTTTTGTGCTAATGCTATGTTTGCCCGAAACGCGGGAATGTATTAAAAAAGCAAATTTTACTGGAATTTTCATATAAGTCGTCATTTTCATATGAATACATATAATTGTTGTTTTTTTTTATTTTTTCTGGTATATAGTTAACTGTTTATAAATAAAAAAACACCAGACGTTAAAAGATATTTGATTTAGTGCAGTTTGATAAAGTGCTCCAGGTTATATTCTAAATCAAAGCACTGCAAGCACTGAAGTATACATTTGCTTGTCATTACGGCATCAAAACCATGTTGATTTTAATCGACTGACCTCAAAATCAGTAGACGTTATCTTCTGGCTACGGTCAATGTCCCTTACAAGTTACACAAACCTAGGCTTATTTCTTTTCAAGATATTAATGGGACAAGGAAGAGGTTTCGTTCCTACAGACTAGGGCTGTATTTTGCCAGGCAATTAAGATACTAGACTAAATGGTTTTCAAAACT